TTTTTTGCGCTTACATTGCAAACGCTGGCTGAACCCTACGAGATAGATCAAAATAATGTACTACAATATTGTACATCTTAAAAGGGTCTACAAAAAAGTCCGGGATGGTATATGTCTATCTCTTAGGGATAACCCACAATAACCATTTTTATCCTTTACTTTTTATGAGAAATAATGACTTATTTACGAAGCGATTGTAGGCAATGCAGCATTAATTCTTATCCAATTAACTATCTTAAATACATTGCGCATTTAATATAGATCAATATGGCCCGTTACAGCATGTAATTTAAATGAATATTTTCGAAGATATTACAGACTTAAAATGCAGGGACATAGCGGCTGCGGCGGTACCAGCCGGGAAACCGGTTTGTATTGTCTAATGACAAAAAAACTGTGAATGTTGTGTATAAAGACATTCTGTAGTATATTTAGTATGTTCAGGGGGTATCTTTTGAAGATTTCCCCTTCTCGATAATAATCTTAACAAAACAAAAATATATATATTTAGTATCAGCATTGCACCCGTGCGGAGCTGGGACGGGTCGCTAGTATTAGATAAACCCAAAGTTAAGTAAACTGTCGATTCCATTTCTTTCTCTTACTGCAATGCGTAGAATATCGGAAACAGAATGGGGTTGTAAATATTTTATTATAAATTGATTGATGTTTATTTTACATCAACAAAATTACTTGTATGTATGAATTAAGAAAAGTCAATTATCAGAATGTTTACCTAATGCTTTAAATGAAACACCAAAAGATCAAGTTCGTAGTTATGTACTTAAAGTATACCTATCTATCGTACATTATACAGGAGTAACACTAAAAATGAGTGTGTAAAACAGGTCTTTCATTTTTAATAAACTTTAAATCCGCGTAGACCCCAATTTATGGATGTTCCAAAGCTTCTTCTGTATAAGCATATTTTTCTAAAGCACCCTCTCCTACTCTTAATCTTCCGGGACTTTGGAGAAGAGGATTTCGAAGGAAAAGCATACAGTGA